AGGAAGGGGAGGAAGGAAGGAAGTGACGGAGGAAGCAGAGGAAGGAGGAAGCGACGGAGGGAGGACAGACGCGGAGGAGGCAGTGAATGAAGGAAGTGGAGGAAGGAAGGAAGTGACGGAGGAAGCAGAGGAAGGAGGAAGCGACGGAGGGAGGACAGACGCGGAGGAGGCAGTGAATGAAGGAAGTGGAGGAAGGAAGGAAGTGATGGAGGAAGCAGAGGAAGGAAGGAAGCGACGGAGGGAGGACAGATGCGGAGGAGGCAGTGAATGAAGGAAGCGATGGAGGAAGGAAGCAACGGAGGGAGGAAGCGACGGAGGGAGGAAGGAGGAAGAAAGGAGGAGACGCAGAGGAGGAAGCGATGGAGGAAGGACAGACCCGGAGGAGGCAGCCAATGAAGGAAGCAGAGGAGGACAGATGCAGAGGAAGTGGTAGAGGAAGGAAGCGACGGATGAAGGAAGCGAAGGAGGAAGAATGACAGATGCGGAGGAGGCAGCGAATGAAGGAAGCGGAGAAGGAGAGACGTGGATGAAGCGAAGGAGGCGCCGGAGGAAGCAAGGGGGGAAGGAAACGAGGGAGGAAGGAAGTGGAGGAGGAAGGAGGAGTGATGCGGAGGAGTCAGCGAATAAAGGAAGCGACGGAGGAAGGACAGACATGGAGGAGGCAGCGATTGAAGGAAGTGGAGAAGGAAGGATGCGACGGTGGAAGGAGGAAAGACGCAGAGGAGGCAGCAAATGAAGGAAGCGGAGGAAGCAGAGGAGGAAGGAAGTGACAGAGGAAGGAAGTGACGGAGGGAGGACAGACGCGGAGGAGGCAGTGAATGAAGGAAGCGGAGGAAGCAAAGGAAGCAAGGGAGGAAGGACAGACATGGAGGACGCAGCGAATGAAGACAGCGACGGAAGTGGAGGAGGAAGGAAGTGACGGAGGAAGGAAGCGAGGGAGGAAAGACAGATGCGGAGGAGGCAGCGACGGAGAAAGCGGAGGAGGAGGAAGGCAGGAGGAAGTGACGGAGGAAGGAAGCGACAGAGGAAGGAAGGAGGAAGCGACGGAGGAAGGAAGCGACAGAGGAAGGAAGGAGGAAGTGAAGGAGGAAGCGACGGAGGAAGCGACAGAGGAAGGAAGCGACTGAGGGAGGACAGACGTGGCAGAGGCAGCGAATGGAGGAATTGACAGAGGAAGGACGGAAGCGACGGAGGAAGTGGAGGAAGGAGGAAGTGAAGGAGGAAGGACAGACGCGGAGGAAACGAAGGAAGGAGGAAGCGATGGAGGAAGCGGAGGAGGGAGGAAGTGAAGGAGGAAGCAGAGGAGGAGGAAGGCAGGAGGAAGTGAAGGAGGAAGCGACGGAGGAAGGAAGCAACAGAGGAAGGAAGTGACTGAGGGAGGACAGACGCGGAGGAGGCAGTGAATGAAGGAAGCGGAGGAAGGAAGGAAGTGACGGAGGAAGCAGAGGAAGGAGGAAGCGACGAAGGAAGGAGGAAAGACGCGGAGGAGGCAGTGAATGAAGGAAGTGGAGGAAGGAAGGAAGCGACGGAGGAAGCGGAGGAGGAAGGAGGAAAGACGCGGAGGAGGCAGTGAATGAAGGAAGTGGAGGAAGGAAGGAAGCGACGGAGGAAGCGGAGGAGGAAGGAGGGAAGACGCGGAGGAGGCAGTGAATGAAGGAAGTGGAGGAAGGAAGG